TTCTCTCTAATAAAATCAACTTTGCAGTTTAAAAAGTCTAAATCAGTGAATACTTACAAAAATAATCTTGAAAAGTTAGAGTACAATTTTAAACATTTAAAAATTACATTACGATTTCTATTATTTCAATGACTAACTTTCGCTACAATCTTCACAACTTAGGGATCAAATATAATAACAAGTCACAAATTGTAGTCACTTTCATGCTAGCAGAAACTTACAAAATGGAGAATGTCTTGAAAACACGGCATTTTTTTTTTTTTTTTTCACTCCAAAAGTTGTATTTCTTCCCCATAATTCAACAAATACAAAGTTTATGGCCATTAGTTAAGCATTCCGTATGGAAATCAAATTTGCAAAGAGACATTGTATTTATGTTTGAAACATTATTGAATTGGAAGCCTTTGAAGACCAAGTCATTCACAAAAATTGTTTTATATATACTTGGACAATTGCCTATAAATCGACTACAATTGTTTTTTACACCACAAATTTCATTCCAAAAGTCTCATAATTTTTTCAAAATTATATTCAACAAACAAGTATTTCGTATGGACAGCAATTTTGTGGAGAGACACTCTATGGTAGATACATCACATCATGTTACGTTTAAAGATGTTGCATTACAAGTCTTTGAAGACCAAGTCATGTACAATAGAGTTTCATACCTGATATGAACAAGACTCATTATATTGTGAAGCAAAGGACCACTGGTGCCTAGAGGTGGTTGCGGTTAAATTTAATTGAAGGTTCAAAATGGAACCATGCATGCATTATACGAATCAGTCCATCTTAAACTATAATCATCTTAAAATTTTAAAGCATGAAATTCAACACGTTGATTTAATTTATATTTCAACCTTTTATCTAAAATTAAAATTCAAACAACTTGTGATATTTAAAAGTTTTTTTTTTTTTTTTTTTTTTTTTTTTTTTTTAAATAAAGGTCAATCGATGGTTCATAAATCAGAATTGTTGAGTCACAATAAATTATCTCAAACTGTATAGTAATGGTTTAAATTATGGTTCTTGCCAATAATAAATATTATTGAACTGTCAGTTATAAACTGTGTACAGAACTAGATGGTGACCGAGTCTATTACTGGTGGCTTTTGTTCCAAATTATTAACACACACATATGTACAGAGTTATTTTTATTATAAAAAATAACACGATTATTATTATTGTTATTATTATTATTATTATTATTATTATTATTGTTGTTGTTGTTGTTGTTGTTGTTGGTGGTGTTGTTGGTGTTGGTGTTGTTGTTGTTGTTGTTGTTGTTAACACAATGACTGGATTGTATAATAAAATTAAATGTAAAATTGCACGATCTTTTAACTATTATGAATATATATATATATATATATATATATATATATATATATATATATATTACATTACATTACAAGTTATTAATTACTTGTAAGTGTACCCAAAAACAAAACACAATATCCAATTTATTATAATTAATGGTCTTATTTAACAACATTAACAACTTAGGATGGGAAGAAAACCGAATAAAGGTAAATAAAATTATAAAGAGTATATGAGTGTACAAATTAACATCGTATTTAATAACATTAACACATTTTTTATTCTCATCAAATCCTTACCATCATTACATTGACTTTTATTTTATAAATATATAAAATATTTATGCTATGAAAAGTTATAAATATCTTGTAATATATACCCACTAAAATATTATTTCATATAACTTAGAGTATTAAATACGGTAATATCATATTATAAAACCTAGCTAGCTACAAGCTAAGTTAAGTAGTTAATGATCCAAAAATTATTAAGATGGTTGTCCAACGAAACAACTTATTGGACAAAAATTCATAGTTTTTTTTTTTTTTTGAGAATATTCATAGTTATTCTTTCTGTAACTTTATCTAGTATGCTCAACTGTCTAAAAAACTGTTAAATCTGAACTTGTTCATAGGTCAAAGGGGCACATGTTAAGCATTTTTAATACCTATAATCTAAGTAACAATAAAATAGAAAAATACAAAATATATATATAAAATTTGTGCATGCTACATTTTTTTAGGGTAATTTGTGTCATAAAGCATTTTCAAAATGCAAAAAAAAAAAAACTACGTGTGATAAATAGACTAATAAAGTAATAGTATGGGCTTACCCAATAAGCTATAGCCATTGAAAATAAATTGCTTTTGCATTGGTTGATTTGAACATTAGAACACAAAAATAAATACAGTAATATCTTGTCCTGAGTCCTGACCTAATTTAATAAAGTACTTAATGCGTTTGCCGGGAGTCGAACCCGGGTCTATTGCTTGGAAGGCAATTATCCTAACCGTTGGACTACAAACGCTTATTTGTTTGACTCCTCATATGAATAATAAAAAAACGTATCATAATAAAGTAATAATTCAAAAAGTTTTGATTGGAATCTCATACTGTTTCTTGTAAAAAGATGCTAAAATTTTGGAGTGGATAAATAAATTTCCTTCTCTGCCTGTTAAGAAAGTACACCAACATTTCGACGCTGGAGACTTTGAATTTTCATGTAAATCAAAGAAAAAGTATCTATTTAAAAAGTTAAATGAAAAAAAAATGAATTTATAATATCATGATTAAACTAACTAATTAGTTTAATTTATTATTGCGCAATATGTTGCGCAATATGTCAGATTTTTTATAAAAATAGTAGCATATCAAATTGGTTATCCACAATAAAATAAATAATTTGGAAATTTTCATTTACACATGCTTTATATAATACTTATGTAAATAGGAGAAACTACTGTTTGACATATATAATATAATTAAAAACTTATCATATTTAGTCCAAAATGACCCAATTGTTCATACCATAAAATTTTTAAGAGATTAATTTGGCAATCAAAGATCATGCATATGTAATTTCACACCACCATATAAAGTACCAAAATAGCTTTAATAAAAACTAAGAGTCCGTTTGGAAAGCAGGAAAATGACTTTTGAAAAATGAGTCATTTTCTATAAAACCATTTCCTTTTCTTGTGTTTAGCTGCACAGCAGAAAACTGTCTTTGTGTGTTTGGTTCATTTTCCAGAAAATGAACAAAATTTTATAATTAAACATTTTAATTCCCTTTTTTTCCATATTAATATGTTTTCACCCTAAACTATGTTTTACGTCCAAAACAATACTATGAACTGTGTTCAAATCCTTACTTTTCACAGCAAGTTATGCAATTAAAGAGTAAAGACTGCAAAATCAAACTAAACAAGGGGAGGATTTGGTTTGAAGTCGTATAGAGATAATGAAGATGGGGTTTCGTTGTTGGAGTAATTAAGATGTTGGGTCCTTCAAGGGAACAAGTGATGGTTTCTGGGCTTGTAAGAGTTTACAGCCACGGAGAAGCCGCCGAGGGAGAGGACGTCGACTATTGCGACGTCAATCGCGGCGAGAATTTCGGAGTGAAATTTCGATTTTCGAGATTGCGGGCAGAGAAGAATGAAATGGAGGGGACGCTCAGTTTCGATGAAGGGGTCGTCGCCTTCCTTTTCTAGCTCGGCTCCGGCAATGGCGAGGTTTGCGAGTAGAGAGTGACGACATGAGAGGTGGGAAGCGTAGGAGGAGATTGGAAAATGACACCCCAAAAAAAGGGGAAGTCATTTTTCACCAAATCAAAGGTATTTTCTATTGACTAGGAAAATGTTTTCCTTTGACCTTAATTTTCCATGGGTTATCAAGCACTAGATATTAAAGTTCGAAGCCACTTCACCTTAATAAGAAAATATGGCATCTTCACACAAACAAAGATAAGTTTATAAAATCAATTTCAACAGGATTAAAGATAGTTCATGGCCACCAAAGATTATTTAGTTGAAGAATTTCTCAGTCGAATTTCCAAAGGTCAAACAATTTAGTCGGCAATAGAGAAAATTAATGATATGTCAAACAAGTGCAATGCAACCAAAAACCTTGTGGTATAATGGTACTAAGTTACTTCTCTATGTGTGAGGTGGTGGGTTCAAATCTCAGTGGAAGCAATTATACGGACCTTTGATGTAGTATGCAAAGGAGTATATGGAGGTTAAATAAATACATGAATGTGGTCATGCCAAACCCTAAAATCATTCAAATTAGTGAACTTTTAATTTATACGGAGTAATAAGTTTGACTTCAATGATACCCATTCTTGTGCAAACACATATTTCTTCTATAATATTGTCTTTATAATTTGAAGGAATTCTTGATTCATTTTTTTTATAGTCTCAGTTGATCTTTGTTATTACGAACACCTTTAAAACTTACAAATTTATGTGACACGTCGGAGAGAATAATGCATGCATTATATCTATTATAAATTTCATTCCTCCAAGCAATAATATATTGACTCTACTAGAGCACTCGATCATTTTTGTACTATCAAATATTGTAATAATACTTTTCAAAAAAAAAAATAAAAAATATTGTAATAACAAATTTCTCATTCCTTTTCAATGTGCATAAATACTTTGCACTTTTTCTAGGTATTGCATGTGTGGTGACATTATTCATTTCATCATTTGTCTTGAATTCAACCAAGTGTGATGATATATTCATTTGCTTATTTAATAAAACAAAGAAAATATTTAATTAAAAAAATGTTGTAGTAGGATATCATGATTCACATCCAATTTTCTCCATATGATACTTAAACATAGCATGCACCAAAACGAGCATAATTACTTTTTTTTTTTATGATCGAAACCATAGCAAAATAATTTTCATTTATAAGATATGCGATAAATTCAACATTTTGTTGGCCTAAAACAAATAATTATTATCACGAGAAAAATGATAAATGGCACACAAATCATCCCAATCAGAACACTCATCATATAATATATGGAATGATGATTTCTAGAAAGCTTATCACAATATTTTACTTTCAATCATGCTCTAAATATAAAGACATAGGGCATATTCTCATCAATGCCCGAAAATATATATGACTTGTGCACAAAGTTGTCTACTACCACATTTTTTTTTTGTCTACTACCACATAAATATATATACATACACACACATTTTATTATATTAAAACAATAAATTCGTTGTAGCTGTACTCTCATGTTCAGTACCTTTAATTTGCAGCCATGAAATTGGAGTTGAACATTCTCACATGAAAGCACTCTCTACCTAAAGGACAGACACGATGTCTTCTTCAATCCTATGTCATGAACACTCCATCTTCTTTACGCGTAAAATCGAAAGAAATTCTAGAGATTCAAAGTCTCAAAAGAAGCAGGCATAATCAATCCTAAATGTTCAGAAAGATCAAAAGGGAGCAAATGAAAAGGTGCATACTTTGGAATATGGATGAAGGTTGGCCATCATGGATCATCAATCTTCACTCCAACTTCTCAAATTCATTAAACCTCCCTATGATAGCCTGCAGTTTCATAAGAAAATATCAGACATCCATTTTTCTGCAAAAACTATGCAAAGTACACTTCACTAGAACAAGGATCAGGCATGAGAAACGCGATTACTCTCACCTTCTTACTTGTTTCTTGGATCTCCCCAGCGAGAACAGATTAGATATACCATCATAGGAAAACAATCAATCAGAAGTATAAATTACAATGCTGCCTGCATACACAAGGGGAAACAGTAGAAATAAAAGAGAAAACATCAACTACAAGCCATTACAACCCTGCAGGACCAAAGAATTCACTCTCATACTCTGTAAAAGAGTCTTCAAAACGATGGCCTCGGGGTTTAACAGTATGTTTTCTCTCATCTGCTTCTTGCATTAGTTAGTGAAACTGTGGAAGAGAAGTAGCACGTGAGAAACAATTGTCTCATATTTCATCTTAACTATTTCCTTCTCCTTCCACTCTTCACCACAATCAACATCAGAGTCAATATTCAATCATTGCACCTTTGGCAGTACAGATTAAGGAATCAATGGCCTCTTATCCTCATATGCACATATGAGCTAAAGCTTGAATTTAGCATAAAGTATTACACTTTGAAGGGAATAGAACACACTGCACAGAACTTATCATTGCATGAACATTTACATGAGGCAATAGAATGATCTGTGAATAAAAAATAAAAAAATAATAAAAAAAGTTTTAACACACTCATCTCCACAAAGTTGGTGAATTTGGGGTCTCTATTGGCGACCAACGGATGATCTGTGAAATATATCATATATTTCCTAAAAAAATGAGGCTTTCATAAGACCGTCTCATTTGATAGAAATCTGATTTATGTTAATGATGTTGTAATTCTTTTCCTACTTTATTCCATTGCAAGACATTATGCTTGGAGGAAATTACAATTTACCAAAAGCAAAAAATAGGTGAAATGACAAAGATACTCTTAATAATTATTACTTCGATCTCATGACCCCCAACATAAGAGAGGTCACTACATGCCATCTGAGCACAAGGTGTTTTCCTTCATAATTCCTTCATCCCAACCAAACACCCCGTTAATGTTCATATCTCTCCCCGAGTCCCTGACATTTCAACAAGATGATTTGTGAGACCAAATGTTCTTGCACATTTTTCTTCTAATTGTTTGCCTTTTAATTCCTTTCATCATTTTCCTTTCTATGTTTTCCGCTTCTAATATGGTTGATTTGGAAGAATTTGTCAAGAGTGACCAGTACGAGGAAGAGTGGGATCAACTCAAAATCTTGTCCCAAAACATCAAGGTCCTTATGACTATTAATAAACCTCTCAGGTTTAAATTCGTGAGGGCTAGACCAAACTTGTGGATCTCGTTGGAGTTTCCACAAGTTAAGAACAACCAAGTGTCTTTTGGAACATGAAAACTAGATACGATGCAATCTTTTATGAACATTCTTGGGCCTCCTAGTGGAGCTGGGTACATCCTAAATGTTTCTTTCACAATAGCTTGAAGATACACCAAGTTCTTGATATCTGATTCATTTACCTTTCTTTCCTCGCCAACTACAATGTCTAGTTCTTCTTGAGCCCATGTTAGCATGATCGAGGTCGTATCTGCTCCTCCAACAATCAAATTCTGATATAGTTAAAGAAAATTGTGAATTAGATACATAATATAAATTAAAGTTATATGCATTATTTTTAATTTCAAGTACACATGGAGGACTTAAATTTAGGAATAATAATTTGGTAAACCAAGAGTGCATACCATGCAAGCATATTTGATGACACTATTTTTTTGGGTTGCTGACTTTAATGCAGAGGGGTTCCTGATCATACTTGCTATTTTTTTTTAGCTGTCTGGTGCTTCTTAGCATCAGTTTGTTGGGCTGTTTTTTGAGAAGTTATTTTTGGTGGCTGAGGGGTGCATGCTCCCGTTAAATAATCTTAGCAATCAGTGAAACTACGTTGGCTTTGTCAGTGAAACTTAATTGAGACAAACCAAATTGTATAAACAAAGTTAATATTCACAGAGTGGAGCAAACCTTGAAGTGAGGACAGCTTCTTACAGGATCCTTGAGAATTGATATTACAGCAGAAACAGAACCATGAACAGCTGACGGCTTGTCACTAGATCCCTGAGAAGTTAGCTAAATGTAATAAGAATCATAACGCCCAAAACAACAGTAGAATACTATGCAGATGGAGCAAAACATACCAAATTACTTCCCCGTCGGGAGTCACTTCTTGAGAGAGAGAGAGAGAGAGAAGGTCAACAAAGAAAAATCGAGAAGGGATGGGAATTAGAGTGGATGAGTACAAAAGGATGGAGAATAGGAAGGAAAAAGAAGGAAAGAAAGAGAGAAACGATCAAGGAAGATGGGAAAGAGAAGAACAAAATTAAGATGAGAAAAGGGGGGATAGAATAAAAAGAAAGAAATTGATAAATATTAGAACGAAAAGGAAAAGAAAAATAGAATTAGAGTAATAGATTATGAGCTGAGCTGAGCTCATAAACTTTTATTGGACAGTAACGTTGAGCTGTTTCAAGTTCAGGATCCTTAGGCCTTGTCAGTGTAAGCTTAGGCTTCCTCTGCACTGATCCAGCCATACCAACCTGAAAAATAGTTCAAATTTTTAAAGAAAGCGTACTAGAAAAACAATAAAACTTTTAAGCAAGTTATTTGTATTTACATGTGACATGGAACAATTCATGTGTAGCATTGACATCTGACTTGGATTCAAACTTCCTCATCATTTCTGCCATTGAAATAAATGGGGCTGCTCGTTCTCGAACATAAATCTGAAATAGAGATTTTCACCATGTATTAGATTCAGAAATTAATGTCCACAAATGAAATGCAAGACATAAAAAATGCATACTAACCTTTCTGCTTATCATCAGATCATAGCTTCATCTCCATCCTCATCATCATCTGCCATTTCTCTATCAGATTCATCGTCATCATCATCACTTTGAAATCCATCCATCTCAACCTCATCTTCAGCTTCCTCTGCCTTTGCAGCTTCTGAAGATTTAGAAGGTAGAAAATGATATCAAACATTAAGAGAATATACCATCTAAAGTGCAAATGAAACAAATAGAAAAACCAGTATGGGAAGAACATAGGAAAAAAAAAAATTAAAATAGTTACTTACCAGCAAGTTGCTCGTTGTGCATACAAGGAGGTCAAGAATGGCCTTAAAAATGCCCTCTAAGGTTGCTGCTGGCATTTGATCAGCAGGAAGACTGAGCAATGATGTCAAGCCCAAGCAGCAAACCTTCTTCTCATGCTCCCTGCAATACCAACATGGTAAGAATTAGAAACCCATCACTTTCCTTAGCTTTGTTTTTCTTATGCCTTTTACATCTCTGCACAAGAACTACAAGACCAACATATTGCTACCTTTTAGAATTAGCTCGAGCTTCACTTTTTTTAGTTTGTTGTAGCATATGGAACCAAAGATTGAAGATCTCTGTAGCAACACAAAGCAGTATGCTCAGCGTAAATGAAGGGTTATAGTAAAGAGCATCAGCAATCTGTCAATAAGAAACAAATTTAGAAGTTATTTCACAGGAAAAGGACACAAACACAGAACGTGTGAATCTGTAGGGGAAAATATAGCAAAAAGTAGATCCACTAAAAAATAAAGTATCCAGTAATTATTTTGTTTTAATACAGTAGACTTCATGTATCATTTAAAGATGGGGCTCATATATCAGGTATATGCAGAACTGCAAGTGCACTCACAACCTTTCATTGAAATTTGAACTCATTTACATGCAATGTGACCTATGCCTCCTCAACAGGAACAAAGGCAAAGAAATGAGTTCAAATCACAATATTACTTGTTAGATCAAATAAGTTTTCTAATCATGCAAAGGAACAATACACACATAATCTCCATGTTTTATAGACTGGGAACCACTTCACAAAAAAAAAAAAAAAAAAAAAAAAAACAAGGGAAACAAATGAATACAGAGAAATATTTAAGTATCTTACCACTTGGATCAGGAGGCACTTCAAGTATGGTGTTTCACTTCGATGCAGACATTCAATTGAGATTCTGAGATATGGCTCAACCCAGTGATCGACCTGTCCTTTGCAGTTCTGGAATGGAACTTCGATGAGCTTAGGTGCACTATCTTCTATGTTTTTGTCCCATCAATTTCAGGTTTTCACTGAGTTCTATCTATATAGACCTGAAAAGTGAAAAATGCATATAATGGCTACCAAGATGATTCTTGTGCTCCACTGACATGTGCATGTGCATGTGCATGTGCAGACACAATACTTACGAAAGGGGAAGGTGAACAAGCTTAGGAAGGATATGAGGCAGCACAACACTGGTCCTGACACTGAAAGAACCTTGGGAAGGATATGAGGCAGCACAGCACTAGTCCTGACACTGAAAGAAGCATCCAATACATTTTAAAAATCAGAAAAGGTGCCCAGGCAAATATGTAAGAAAATACACATTTCAAATGGTTTTCAACCTTAAAATCTGTTTTAAACCATCCAGAGCAGTATCAGGGTTTAATAAGAATCATAATGCCCAAAACAACAGTAGAATACTATGCAGATGGAGCAAAACATACCAAATTGCTTCCCCGTCGGGAGTCACTTCTTGAGAGAGAGAGAGAGAGAGAGAGAGAAGGTCAACAAAGAAAAAACGAGAAGGGATGGGAATTAGAGTGGGTGAGTGAGAAAGGATGGAGAACATGAAGGAAAAAGAAGAAAAGAAAGAGAGAAACGAATAAGGAAGATGGGAAAGAGAAGAAGAAAATTAAGATGGGGGGATAGAATAAAAAGAAAGAAATTGATAAATATTAGAACGAAAAGGAAAAGAAAAATAGAGTTAGAGTAGTAGATTATGAGCTGAGCTGAGCTCATAAGCTTTATACGACAGTAACGTTGAGCTGCTTCAAGTTCAGGATCCTTTGGCCTTGTCATTTTTAAGCAAGTTATTTGTATTTACATGTAACATGGAACAATTCATGCGTGGCATTGACATCTACTAGATTCAAACTTCCTCATCATTTCTGCCATTGAAATAAATGGGGCTGCTCGTTCTCGAACATAAATCTGAAATAGAGATTTTCACCATGTATTAGATTCAGAAATTAATGTCCACAAATGAAATGCAAGACATAAAAATGCATACTAACCTTTCAGCTTATCCTCGGATCATAGCTTCATCTCAACCCCTCATCATCATCTGCCATTTCGCTATCAGACTCATCGTCATCATCATCACTTTGAAATCCATCCATCTCAACCTCATCTTTAGCTTCCTCTGCCTTTGCAGCTTCTGAAGATTTAGAAGGTAGAAAATGATATCAAACATTAAGAGAATAATCGAATATACCATCTAAAGTGCAAATATAATAATTCTTGGAAGAATTTCTATGCTATAATTATTGAATATTAGAAAATTTGGTATACAAATGAAGAGATTCTATCAATTTATATTTTAAGTTCACAAACAAAGGATAAGCAGGAATACCTGGAGGAACATAGGAAGCACAGGTTGAAGAGCTTTCCGGGGGCAAAAACCAGGTATTAGAACCTAACAAAGATCTTACCAATCCTAGTTGTGAGTGCACTTAGTTTACCAAGGGCAAGAGCAGCACTTGATCGAACAGTCCTGCAAACAACTTGCATAGCATGAGCTAGGAATATACATCGTAGTACCGAACCAAACATACTAAATGAGTCTCAAGATGAACCGAAAAACCATAAGTATTAGAATCTAACCTTAACCTTATATTATCCTGCAAACACTTAACAAATGTCGTTTGAAGCTGGGGAAGAAATATCCTCATGAATTCCAACATCTGAAGCCTGCTGCCCATATCACCACAATATTAGATTTTGAAAGTTAAAACCAAAGAAAAGAAAAAAGCATAAGAAGAAGTATGTCACCTGTAAAGCAGATAAAAGATCACTAACCAAAGGATCAATCCTAGTTGTGAGTGCACTTAGTTTACCAAGGGCAACAGCAGCACTTGATTGAACAGTCCTGCAAATAACTTGCATAGCATGAGCTAGGAATATACATACATCGTAGTATCGAACCGAACAGAATAAACGAGTCTCAAAAAGAACTGAAAACCATAAGTATTAAAAGCTAACCTTGTAATATCCTGCAAACACTTAACAAATGTTGTTTGAAGCTGGGGAAGAAAAGGCTTTAGGGCCAACCCACCCTTCCATATTATGATGCTCAAAGTTGAGAGAATTGAACTTTTAACTTTCCATGGGAATCTGTCCCCTATTATACGAATGAACGACCTACACCAAATAACAATTCATGAACAAGCAATAATCTAGAATGGCGTTACACTGGTGACCCAAAGGTTCAGACAAGTAGAGGACTGTTTTATAGTTGATACACTAATAAAGGGCATAGTTCACTGCATACCATATATAGGCAACGTAATGTCTACGTATAGCTTATTTTGTTGGTTGCAATCCTTTTAATAGTCTCAGTCAAAACTAGCAATGTGTAGAACTATAGTAACAGCTCATACCCTGTGATTGGAATGACAAACTCCTTTAATGCTTGATCACTTGTCACTTCAATTAACTCTCCAAGGCCCAAAGCTGCTTGCTCTCTTAATTTAGAAGATCCACTTATAAGACCCCCTACAGATAATAGAGGAAATTCACATTACCATGCAATCAAAGCTCAACAATCTTGCAGTCTTAATACTTGTGGCCAATGCTTGTAATAATGGTATACAAATGAATAGATTCTTCCAATGTAAACTTTAAGTTCACAAACAAAAGATAAGCAGGAATACCTGGAAGAAAATAGGAAGCACAGGTTGCAGAGATTTCCGGAGGCAAAAACCAGGTATTAGAACTGGTACTCCCTGCATGTTCGCAAATCAACAGGAAGCATAAAAAATAAACAGATTGTACCACCATTTGGAGTAAAATGCACACTCCTTTACCTTTTTATTCCTACGTTCTTTATCCCTGGAAGTTGATACTGCATCAGAACCAACTTTATATACACAGGAAGAACTTCTCTAGGAACTGATCTTATCACACTAGACGATGCTCCCTAAGCAACCTGTAAAAGAGCATGGCAAGATAAACTAGTACATTGAAGTGCGGTGTATAAATGTCATGCAATGAATCAAAATAATACCATCACGGTAGCTGAATCTGAATCAGGGTGGATATCACATTTGGAGCCTCATCAACAAGATATACTGCATCAGAACCAACTTTATATACAAAGGAAGAACTTCTCTAGGAACTGATCTTATCACACTAGACGATGCTCCCTAAGCAACCTGTAAAAGAGCATGGCAAGATAAACTAGTACATTGAAGTGCGGTGTATAAATGTCATGCAATGAATTTTTAATACCATCACGGTAGCTGAATCTGAATCAGGGTCGATATCACATTTGGAGCCTCATCAACAAGATATAGATCACTGGTTTTGGATAAATATCCAATTAAGCATGCAGAACTTTGTCCGATTGAAGCCTGGAAGAATAAAACTTAAATAGTGTTAGCTAAAGAATGGAATAAAAAGAAAAGAAAGTCACATAATCATTATGTAAAACAATAAATCATGCCTGAATATCAGTATAGCCCATTGCAGTGAGTAAAGCATGAAGGATGGTACCAAGGTGGACATCAAGACCAGGTCCAGCAACCTCTGCTAAAGCTCCCAAAGCATGTGCATTGAAGGCACTGGATATAAAGCACTCTCACATGAAAACACTCTCTATCTAAAGTTCAGAAGCAAACTGAATCATGAATAGGGGGAGGAAATGACCTAGCTATCACAATGTCTTCTTCAATCCTATGACATGAACACTCAATCCATCTTCTTTACGCGTAAAATCGAAAGAAATTCTAGAGATTCAAAGTCTCAAACAGAAGCAGGCATAATCCTAAATGTTCAGAAAGATCAAAGGGGAGCAAATGAAAAAGGTGCATACTTTGGAATATGGATGAAGGTTGGCCATCATGGATCATCAATCTTCACTCCAACTTCTCCAATTCATTCAACCTCTCTATGATAGCCTGCAGTTCCAGATGAAATCAAACATCCATTTTTTCTAAAAAATCTATGCAAAGTACATTTCACCACAACAAGGATAAGGGGTCTTGCGATTACTCTCACCTTCTTACTTGTTTCTTGGAGCTCCCCAGCGAGAACGAATTCATCTAAGATTAGATATACCTTCATAGGAAAACAATGCAGCATACAAAAGGTAAATACACTAGAAGTAAAAGAAAATACAGAGATTCACAATGAGAAAGACTGACAAACCATACCTTGTGAAAGTTAAAAACCAAATCTAACTCGCAAACATTACTAAAGAAGTGATCCAGTATCTCCACAAACGAGTGGATGCACTCCAAATAAACCAACTCGTTGTCCGTCATATCAACACAGAGCGAGAAAAATAGCCCAGCATACCACCTGTAGATTATCTTGTGTGCTCGGAACTGACAAGGAAACATCAACTACAAGCCATTACAATCCCGCAGGACCAAAGAATTCACTCTCTGTAAAAGTGTCTTCAAAACAACACCCTCGGGGATTAACAGTATGTTTTATCTCATCTCCTTCCTGGATTAGTTAGTAGAACTGTGGAAGAGAACTAGCAGGTGAGAAACAATTAACTATTTCCTTCACATTCCGCTCTTCACCACAATCAACAGAGTCAGTATTCAATCAGAGCATCTTTGGCAGTACAGTTTAAGGAATAGAACACACAGCACAGATCTTATCATTGCATGAAAAGTTTTACATGAGGCAATAGAACAATTTGTGAAAAAAAAGAAGTTCTAACACTCTCAGCTCCACAAAGTTGGTAAAACTTCTAACACTCTCAGCTCCACCCTACAGATAATAAAGGAAATTCACACAACCATGCAATCAAAGCTCAACAATCTTGCATTCTTAATACTTGTTACCAATGCTTGTAATAATGCGAAACAGATTCCAAAAACAACAGCAATAATAAAAACAATCTTTATGTATAATTAATAGATTATACTTAGTTCCTTACATATAATAATTCTTGGAAGAATTTCTCTGCTATAATTATTAAATATTAGAAAATTTGGTATACAAATGAAGAGATTCTTTTTAGGGCAAAAAATAAATGAAGTAAGCCTACAAAAGAATATTGACACCTATAAACTTAAATGAATCAACCAGATTTCCCATAGTATTTCAAAGAGAGAGAGAGAGAGCATGGTAAGCATAAAGAACAAGCGTAAAGCATGTAATTATAATACATAGCCCGTTCAACAGGAAGGAGCACATTAAGATGCCAACTCCATAGCAAACATGTAAACCTTGTATATAACAACAAAATAAAAGATTACCAGCGTTAGTGATATTAGGATAGTCATAACAACAGGAAGATCTTTGGTTCCAAGAACATCAGCCACAGAATGTAAAGCCAATGCTATCCCCTTGTCTGCCGATCCAACCAGCAACTAAAGAGCACACTTGAAAATTATTTTTAAACCTGTAAGTTTTTGTCCCATCAATTTCAGGTTTTCTCCGAGTTCTCTCTAGATAGACCTGCAAAGTGAAAAGTGCATATTATGGCTACCAAGATGATTCTTGTGCTCCACTGACATGTGCATTGAAGGCACTGGATATAAAACCAAAGATCATTGTGAATAATAAAGAAATACTACTCTATACAAAAAGCTATAATAAGCAGACACAATACTTACGAAAGGGGAAGGTGAACAAGCTTGGGAAGGATATGAGGCAGCACCGCACTGGTCCTGACACTGAAAGAAGCATCCAATACATTTTAAAAATCAGAAAAGGTGCTCAGGCAGATATGTAAGAAAATACACATTTGCAAATGGTTTTCAACCTTAAAATCTGTTTTAAACCATCCAGAGCAGTATCAGGGTTTGATACTGAAAGAAGCATCAAATACATTTTAAAAACCAGAAAAGGTGCTCAATTTGCAAATGGTTTTCAACCTTAAAATCTGTTTTAAACCATCCAGAGCAGTATCAGGGTTTGATCGTCCTCCAGAGCATGCAGAAGTGTCGGAACAATCTCATCAATTGCTATCATTCAGGAAAGCAGTAAGAAATTTTTCATACAGGAAAGGCACAAACAATCTTTGACGAGACAAATGTTTCACGTTTCATGTTTTCCAGGGATAATCCTAAATGTTCAGAAAGATCAAAGGGGAGCAAATGAAAAAGGTGAATACTTCGGAATATGGATGTTGGCCATCATGGATCATCAATCTTCACTCCAACTTCTCCAATTCATTCAACCTCTCTATGATAGCCTGCAGTTTCAGAAGAAATCAAACATCCATTTTTTTCTGCAAAATCTATGCAAAGTACACAAGGCACAAGAAAAATCCTTCTTCTCGCGATTACTCTCACCTTCTGACTTGTTTTTTGGAGCTCCCCAGCGAGCACGAATTCATCTAAGATTAGATATACCTTCATAGGAAAACAATCAATCAGAAGTATAAATTACAATGCAGCATACACAAGGCGAATACACTAGAAATAAAAGAAAATACAGAGATTCACAACGAGAAAGATGACAAACCATACCTTGTGAAAGTTAAAAACCAAATCTAAAAAAGTGATCCAGTATCTCCACAAACAAGTGGATGCACTCCAAATAAGCCAACTCGTTGTCCGTCATTTCAACATAGCGAGAAAAATAGCCCAGCATACCTCCTGTAGATAATCTTGTGTGTTCGGAACTGACAAGGAAAACATCAACTACACAATCCCGCAGGACCAATAAATTCACTCTCATCTCCTTCTTGGATTTGTTAGTGGAACTGTGGAAGAGAACTAGCAGGTGAGAAACAATTATCTCATATTTCATCATAACTATTTCCTTCTCATTCTGCTCTTCACCACAATCAACAGAGTCAGTATTCAATCAGAGCATCTTTGGCAGTGCAGGTTAAGGAATCAATGGCATCTTAACTAAGAAGGGAATAGAACACACAGCACAGGTCTTATCATTGCATGAAGTTTTACATGCGGCAATAGAATGATCTGTGAAAAAGAAAAAGTTTTAACACTCTCAGCTCCACAAAGTTGGAGAATTTGGGGTCTCTATTCACAAGCAACCGATGAACCTTCCAGATCGAATGTTAAAACTCAGCGACTCAGTGTTAATGATCAAATGTATCGGGATATCATAGCAAGAACACGTGTTCGACTTTGTGCTTCACAGATTCCTCGAGAGGGGGGGTGGGGGGGGGGGGGGGGGGGGTAATACTTGGCCAAACGAGTCTATCCTTGCAAGTTTTGAAGCAGAATGAATCAAATCTGCCCTTTTCAAGCCCAAACAAAACCATCAACCAATTCGCCAGAAAATGAATCGAGAGAACACCCAAATGGCAATGCTTGAAATTACCATTTTGATAGAACCACTGATTCAGTCGGGCATTTAGCGAAAAAGAGAAGCTTTTCTGTTTTGCCCACCATCTGGAACAGTATTTTATTTTGTAGTATTTCTTTTCTTCTTTTAAAAAAAAAATTACAGCCACCTAGTATTTTTAATTTTTAATGAGAGAAACATCTGAATCCTGATGCCCATATCACCACAATATTAGATTTTGAAGGTTAAAACCAAAGAAAAGAGAAGAAAAAAAAAACATAAGATGAAGTATGTCACCTGTAAAGCAGATAAAAGATCACTAACCAAAGGATCAATCCTAGTTGTGAGTGCACTTGATCGAACAGTCCTGCAAACAACTTGCATAGCAAGAGCTAGGAATATACATGGTTGCCAAACCATAAACGAGTCTCAAAAAGAACCGAAAACCATATACACATATGAATGTGAATGAAATGAGAAAGAGAAGAAGAAGAACAAGAACAAGAAGAATAGAATAGAAAGAGTGGGTATAATAAGAAGAAAGAGAATGAATATGAGAACAAGAGAAGAAAAAAAGAGTAGCAGTAGACAAACAGAAAAGAGAAGATGAAGGAATATGGAAAATGAAGAATGAGGGTCAAAACGGAGAAAAAGAAGAAAAATAAGAAGGTTGATGAGGATAAGAGATAGAAAGTGAAAGGAAGACGATAAAAGGAGAAAGTGTGAGAAAAGGAGTTTGGAGAATAAGAAGGAAAAATCAAAACTTAATGTCAGGAAAAATCAAAACTTAATTTCAGGAAAAATCAAAACTTAATGTAAGAACAAATCAATACTGGAAAAAACTACTGACCTGTCTAGAAATACTTCACGCAAGGTTGTAATGATACCATATTTCTTAATGCAGGAAATTTTGAAACCCTTAACCCCTGCAAGTCCAAAAGCTGTTCCTCAGTGCTCCCCATATTTGTCATTCTTCATAATTTATCTAGAAGCCTCGAAACAAGATCAGGTGCATCCTCCTGATGAATGTAAAAAGGAAATAACAAAAGAAAGATCAAATGTGAGAGCAAATATTTTGTATTTGAAAAGTGCAGTAAGGTATTTATAAGAAAAGGGGAGAGGAATTCAAAAGAAAAAAGTAAGAATAAAGAGAAATAGTAGATAAACAATAAGAAATTCATTCAACTTCACTTTTGGCAGATCAGAAAAAAATACAAGGAAACAAGGGTAAGGGTAATAAAACAGGGGATTTAGCCACAAGGCCCAAAACAAAGATATTTGTTAAGAGTCCCACATCTATAAAATAAGAGAGAACATATGGGTTTATAAGGCCATGGGTTAGACTAGCTAATTGGTTGGATTCAATCTTTTAGTGTGGTTTGGCCCATGTACATTATAGCCCAGTTGAGTGACCATGGCCCAATCTTAAATTATAACAATATTGTATATCAATGATAAAAATAGAAGGGCTTAGGAGAAAGAACAGATTATAGAAATACATTAGAAGTGCAATCTAGGGGGTGCCAAACTGGATTGGAGTTAAGCCATAGTTGAGTTGAGTTTGTTTGATATGAACAACATTCAATATGCAACAGAAACCTATGGTCCAAGTAGATAAAATAATCTAAAATAACATATCACAGGTAGGTGCTTACAACTGAGGCATGTGAGGAATTCGAGGCTCTTTGGGTCTTGCAGGACCATTCTGTTGCTTGAAATATTCCGACTCCGAGTAAGTATTGACAAAGAGAATTGTCAAAAATCATTCAACAAAAAGATAATTTTATTAGTCAGCTGGCAATTAGCATACTTGCGCTTTCGCTTCTTCTTGGTGGCTCAATCCAATTTTCACTGGCAATCTTCTTAAAATCAACCTTATTTTCATCCTTCATCAGCAACAAAGTAAAATATCAGAAATGGCAGCTTCAGAAAAAGAACCCCAAAAAACGAAAGATCATAGACAACTAACCTTTTCATCATCAAAGTCATAGATATCAGCAGCTGCATAAAATGAGATCTAGATTATCCCAGAGAGAGAGAAAAGATAACATATGGTCATCCATCGTAAACTTGATAGCATCTTTTGTAAACTTCTTCATCTTGGCATCAAGCTCAGTTGTAGCCTCTTCTCCTTTAGCAATGAACCTATCCATATCTTCATCTGTGATTGTGTTATCCTTGGAACTGAAAACCATCTCAGCACCTGCAGTAGCTTATCCTTATTTACAGCTGCAGTGAGTCAAGCCAAGGATCAAAACAATGCTTTTTTTACCAGACCCTGAATCGCGTATACGTTGCAAGCAATCCATCAGTTCTGTGACCTTTGAAGACTCCTTCAGTGCTTCTTAACATCAATTCTGAATTTATTTGCTTTAGGACAAGTGATCCAGCTTGTTTCTATTTAACACACATTCCAGAAGATGGATTTCGCAAGCTTGATAACAGACATAATCTGCACATTGTGTGTGCACGAGGTGTGTGCTTTTTAACATCAATTCTGAATTTATTTGCTTTACTTGTCCAGCTTGTTTCTATTTAACAATTGACAACAGATTGGACACATTCCAGAAGATGGAATTCGCAAGCTTGATAACAGACATAATCTGCATATTGTGTGTGCACGAGGTGTAAGCACAGGATCATCTGCAGACTCAAGTAGGCACCTTCTGAGAGGCAGAATCAGGGTTCGTTTCAACAAACTTTTGTGCAACCTTGTCCAAATCAGGGTTTGTTTCAAGAATCTTCTGGGCAAGCTTGTTTGCATATTCGTCTACATCGGCCTGGCTGCAGATTTAGGGGAAATAAACTGTTTTAGAGATCAGAGTATAATTCATCATAGACCTCATCACAAGAAAAGGATGGTTGCAACACTGTCTCAGTCTGAGTAGCAACTCAAGAATGTTTGCAAAGTTGCGAAGAACTTTGCCTTGTGCTACAAATTCGTTAAACTGGACCTGATTCATCAACAAGAAACTGTTAGTTCCCAGTCCCAAAAATGCATATCAGATTTCGAACCACATGTCTGAATAATCTGAAAGAACCCTTGAAAATGCAGTTACTTAACACACACACAAATCAGAGCTTTCTTGGAGGGGTATTTAAAGAGCATGAGAAAATGGTAAACCAGACAAACTTGCTGGGGCAGCAAATCTTACTTAGTTACTTTAGATTTCTTGTAGAGGGCATCATAGAAATCACGCTCTTCTTCCGACTGTTCACACTCAATGACTTGGATGTCAGTTGGTGGCAGGACAAGAATTGGCCTAATTCAAAGGAACAAGACATCAATAAGCTGCTGCTTCTCAAGTAAACTTTGAGTTTAAAAGAAAACTAGAAAAAAAGACAATGAACTACCTCCCTTCCTTGTCCTTTGTTTCCTTTGTTCTCCTAAGCATTAATGGCCTAAGAATTGCCTTGATCAGTTCCAATGCTCTCTGATCACCATTCTCATAAGCTCTCTGTATTAATTGATTCCACCTAAAAGATAGCAAACATTTAAGTAATTCAGTTAAACTTATTAGCATGTATATATACACAGTTAGTAATATAGAAGACATACCATGCCCAATTGCACCATGGCATGCAAGAAACACTGAAGGCTGTAAAGATCTTGCAAATTATTCTGCAGCAATTAGTGAGGACATCATTAACATAATCAGATTTCTATCCAATGAGACGGTCTTATGAAAGCCTCATTTTTTTAGGAAATATGATAAATGGGAACTTAGATGAGGAAACATACCTGAAGTGGAGTACCAGTGAGACACCACCTGCAATGTGCAGACAATGCGAATGCAGCCCTAGCACTCACAGTTCTCCAGGATTTTATGGTGTGTGCTTCATCCAGTACAATTCGATGCCAATCAACTTCATGGAATATGCTACTCCTAAATCACAGTTCACTGGTTAATGCACATAGAACCAAATGAACAGAATAAACAGTTAAACACACTTTCAAGCTCATGGGAAAAACATTGATACTGATCTGAAAAAGGCTGGATTCCTTACAGCCTTATATGCAGCAGTTAGAAGACCATAGGTTGTCAAGACCACATCTGGTTCCACTATCACTCTTGGGTCATTACTTCTGTCCCCACCATAATGAACAAAAACAGAAATGCTATCTGGCATTGAATGGGCTTCACGTTCATCCTGTTAAGAGAATTACAATCAATATCAGTCACATTTTCATATTGACATTAAGCAAGAAAGGGGCTACAGACTAATAAACTCATCTTCCATTGACCAAGTAATACCATAGAACGAACAATGAGAGTGCCACACCTTCCATTGACCAAGTAATGCCATAGGACAAACAATGAGTGCCACCTTTAATCCTTCTGTTCCTAGAATGCTGAGTAATAGGCATGTCCTCACCTATCCTCAGGGATACCCTTGCCCGGCCTAGCAAGTATTTGAGCAATTGTCATTACAGTTTTCCCCAGGCCCATAGCATCTTCTAAGATCTGCAGAAACCACCTTTCGCAGAGAAATTAATATATGCAACAACAACAAAAACCAGGAGATCAAGATATTAAATTGGAGTAACAAATAAAACTCATTCCCCCTCTTGCTGTTTCCAATGCAGAAGGAAATTCTGCAGTTGCTTCACCAGAGAAAATGTCCACACTCCTTCAGGAGAGAGTCACATCTTCCTATCAACAATCCTTATACATGGCTCAAAAGTTAAGGCTTATTATATTATGCAAATTCCAGTGGATTGGTGCCCATGTTACAGAATTAAGAATCAGACCAATTGTGAAATCCTATATATACATGCATTCAAGATTTATTTCAAAGCATAAAGAACAGAGACAAATTCACAAAGGTAAACACAAAGCTGAAATTAATAAATTAACCATATCTCCATTCCAGTTAGTAAATAGTGGCTTCACATACTGTGACAGGCTGGTTATACCATTTGTGTGAAAAGAATGAATTACCTGAAAATGCCATGGGAAACATCCATTCCAATTATCGATGGAGAATACTCCACTGCAAGCAAGAAATTCATACTGCCAAGTTATAATAAATCAGGAAATGAAGAAAGAGAATAAATATGAGGACAAGAAGGGGAAGAATAATACCTCACACCATGAGAAAGATAAACACGGACAAATGAGAAGGGAGTGTAGATGAGGAAAAGGCGTAGAAAGCTTAAAAATAACAACACGAATAAGAGATTGAAAGAGAAGGAAAGAGGAGATTAACAAAAAGACAAATAGAACTTGGAGGATGAGAAGGACAAGATAAAAATTAAAGATACATAAATGGGGAAAAAGAAATGAAGAAAAAATAAGAATTATGAGAGTAATGAAGGGAAAAAAGGAAGAAGATGTGAATGAAATGAGAAAGAGAAGAAGAACAAGAACAAGAACAAGAACTAAGGATGGAGAACATGAAGACAAAAGAAGAAAGAGAATGAATACGAGGACAAGATGGAGAAAAATAATACCTCACACCATGAGAAAGATAAACATGCACAACTAGAAGGGAATTTAGATGAGGACAAGAGGTAGAAAACTGAAAAATAACAAGACAAATAAGAGATGGAAGGAGAAGGAAAGGGAAGATTAATAAAAAGACGAAGAGACTTTGGAGAATGAGGAAAGGAGAGGATAAAAATTAATGATAAAAGGGGAAAGGTGGAAAAATAGAAGGGGAAAACAAAAGGAAGAAAAAATATAACGAAAATAAATAAATAAATAAATAAATAAAAGGAAGAACAAAGACAGAGAATAATGCGTAATAAAAAAGAGAAAGATGAGAAGAAGAAAGAGTAGATAAAAGAAAAATGAAACGGGAAGATAGGTGGAAGGAAAAAATAGGGATGAAAAGGATGAATAGATGACAATAAGGAATGAACTAAAAGGAGATAAGGAAAGGTGGCAAGGAAAATAATAGTAAGAGAGAATTATAAAAATTATGAGAACATGAGAGGAAGGGAAAAGAAGTATGAGAATTATTTTAGGGAAGGATGGAGAACATGAAAGAAAAAAAGGGAAAAAAGGAAGAAAATGAGAGGAAGATGAAAAAGAGAAGAAAAAGAAGAAGATAAAGAAGTAAGAAGAAAGGGAATTAATACAATGACAAGGAGGAGAAGAAAAAGAGAGCAGCAGTAGATAAAAAAAAAAAAACGAGAAAGAGCAATAAGAAAAATAGGAAGAAAAGACAAAGAAAAAGAGAAATTGAAGGAATATGGAAAATGAAGAATGAGTGTCAAAATGGAGAGAAAGATAAACATTACACTTTAATGAAAAGAATAAAGAGAAAGAAGGTGGATGAGGATAAGAGAGAGAAAACGAATGGAGGAAGATATAAAAGGAGAAGGAAAGGGAAGATAAAATATAGACGGAGATAGATAGAGAGAGAAGTTCAACAAAGAAAAACCGAGAAGGGATGGAAATTAGAGGTTGGTGAGTAAGAAAGGATGGAGAACATAAAAAAACACTTTAGAAAAGAATAAAGAGAACTTGGAGGATGAAAAGGAAAGGACAGGATAAAAATAAAAGATATATAAATGGGGAAAAAGAAACGAAGAAAAAATAAGAATTATGAGAGTAATGAAGGGAAAAAAAGGAAGAAAATGTGACTGAGATGAGAAAGAGAAGAAGAAGAAGAACAAGAACAAGAAGAAAAGGAAGAAGAGAAAGAGTGGGTATAATAAGAAGAAAGAGAATGAATATGAGAACAAGAGAAGAAAAAAAGAGTAGCAGTAGACAAACAGAAAAGAGAAGATGAAGGAATATGGAAAATGAAGAATGAGGGTCAAAACAGAGAAAAAGATAAAAACTACACTTCAATGAAAAGAATAAAGAGAAGAAAAATAAGAAGGTGGATGAGGATAAGAGGTAGAAAGTGAAAGGAAGAGGATAAAAGGAGAAAGAAAAAAGACGAGAGAGTGAGAAAAGGAGTTTGGAGAATAAGAAGGAAAAGAGATGATAATATACACATACATAGAGAGAGAGAGAGAGAGAGAGAGAGAGAGGGGGTCAACAAAGAAAAAAACGAGAAGGGATGGGAATGAGAGTGAGTAAGAAAGAATGGAAAACATGAAGGAAAAAGAAGGAATGAAATAGAGAAACGGATACGGAAGATGGGAAAGAGAAGAAGAAAATTAAGAATAGAAAAAGGAAGGTTAGAATAAAAAGAAAGAACATGACGAATATTAGAACGAAAAGGAGAAGAAAAAGAGAGTAGAGAAATATATTAAGAAATGGGTAGAGAGGCGAAAAGAAGAATAATGAAAATTTTGAAGTAAAAGATAATGAAAAATGAGACGATGAAGAAAAAAGAAAAAGAAAACGAGAGGAAGAGAAACGAGAGTCAAACTGAAAAGAGAGAAACATGCACAAATGAGAAGGGAAGTTAGATGAGAGATAAAAAGAAAAATAACAGGACGGAATAAGAGATGGAAGGAGAATGGGAAGAGAAAAAGAGATGGAAGGAGAATGAGAGATGGAATGAGAATGAGAGTTAAGAAAATTTGGAGAATGAGAAGGAAAAGTGGTGAAAAAAATCCAAGATAAATAGAATAATAGAAGGGGAAAAGGAAAAGAAAAAATAGGAAGAAAATAAGAAAGAATCAGGATATAGAATAACGTGAACGAAAAAGAGAAAGAGGAGAAGAAAAAATAGGAGTAGACAAAGAAGAATGAAATGGAAGAAAGGTGGAAGGAAGAAAAATAGGGGTGAAATAATGAAAAAGATGGGAAGATTAATAAGGAATGAACTAAAAGAAGATAAAGAAGGAGGATGAGAATAATAATCAAAAGAAGTATAAGAGTAATGAATGGAAAAAAAGTATGAGCATTATTTAAAGAAAGGATGGAGAACATGAAGACAAAAGAAGAAAGAGAATGAATACGAGGACAAGATGGGAAAAAATAATACCTCACACCACGTGAAAGATAAACATGCACAACTAGAAGGGAATTTAGATGAGGACAAGAGGTAGAAAGCTGAAAAATAACAAGACAAATAAGAGATGGAAGGAGAAGGAAAGAGAAGATTAATAAAAAGACGAAGAGACTTTGGATAATGAGAAGGAAAGGAGAGGATAAAAATTAAAGATAAAAGGGGAAAACATAAAGAAGAAAAAGTATAAGGAAAATTAGAAAAAGGGACATAGAGAATAATGTGTAATAAAAAAGAGAAAGATGAGAAGAAGAAATAGTAGATAAAGAAAAATGAAATGGGAAGATAGGTGGAAGGAAAAAATAGGGATGAAAAGGATGTATAGATAACAATAAGGAATGAACTAAAAGAAGATAAAGAAAGGTGACGAGGATAATAATAGAAAGAGGGAATTATAAAAGTTATGAGAACATGAGAGGAAGGGAAAAGAAGTATGAGAATTATTTTAGGGAAGGATGGAGAACATGAAATTAAAAAAAAAAAAAGGAAAAAAAGAAGAAAATGAGAGTAAGAAGAAAGCGAATTAATACAAGGACAAGGAGGAGAAGAAAAAGAGAGCAGCAGTAGATTAAAAAAACGAGGAGAAAGAGCAATAAGAAAAATAGGAAGAAAAGACAAAGAAAAAGAGAAGTTGAAGGAATATGGAAAATGAAGAATGAGTGTCAAAATGGAGAGATTAAAGAGAAAGAATGAATGATGAAGATAAACATTACACTTTAATGAAAAGAATAAAGAGAAAGAAGGTGGATGAGGATAAGAGAGAGAAAACGAATGGAGGAATATATAAAAGGAGAAAGAAGGGGAAGATAACCAAAAAACGAAAAGAGCGAGAAAGAGTTTGCAGAATATATATATATATATATATATATATATATATATATAGACGGAGATAGAGAAGGTCAACAAAGAAAAAACGAGAAGGGATGGAAATTCGAGTTGGTGAGTAAGAAAGGATGGAGAACATTAAGGAAAAAGAAGGAAAGAAAGAGAGAAACGATTAAGGAAGATGGGAAAGAGAAGAAGAAAATTAAGAACAAAAAAAGGGGGATTAGAATAAAAAGAAAGAACATGATAAATATTAGAACGAAAAGGAGAAGAAAAAGAGAGTTAGAGTAGTAGATTATGAAATGAGGAGAAAGGCGAAAAGAGGAAGAACGAAAATTTTGAAGTAGAAGACACCGAATAAAACAGACAATGAAGAAAAAGGAAAAAAAGAGAAAGATACACATGCACAAATGAGAAGGGAAGTTGGGATAAAAAGTAGAAAAATAAAATAAAAATGAAATTAACACATGGAATAAACAAAAAGCACATGAAAACTAAAGCAGTCTTCTTAAACTACGGCAAGATGTATACACTCAGGAAAATAATGCGTTCACTCAAAATGGAGGTACCTTCTTATTTAGAGGGCGAGCCTTAAACTTGGGAAATTTTGCCATCATTTCTTCTTCCAAATCAGCTGAGCTCTTAAGTTTTACTGCGCGGTAACGTTGAGATATTTCAAGTTCAGGTTCCTTGGGCCTTGTCAGTGTAAGCTTAGGATTCCTCTGCACTGATTCCAGCCATACCATCCTAAAAAATAGTTTAAATTTTTAAAGAAAATGTACTAGAAAAATAATGGAACTTTTAAGCAAGTTATTTGTATTTATAAGTGACATGGTACAATTCAAGCGTGGCATTGACATCTCCCTTGTACTAGATTCGAACTTCTTCATCATTTCTGCCATTAGAATAAATGGGGCTGCTGGTTCTCGAACACAAATCTGAAATAGAAATTTTCACCACGTATTAGATTCAGAAATTAATGTCCATAAATGAAATGCAAGACATAAAAATGCATACTAACCTTTCTGTCTTCTGTACGTGTTTCAGCAGTTGAAGTGAACTAGTTGCCGGTAAATTTCCTAGGTCTTGTTTTATGGAGCAAAGATTGGGGTCTGATGCTAAGGATATAAGCAAAACTGAGAACAAATTGAGGAGATCATAATAAAAATATGTGAAAAATGATACACTTAATTAAGGTAAAAAAATTTAGTCAATAAATGACTCTCACCTGTCTAGCTTTCCCCTCTTCAAGTTTTTGCCTCCTTATAGCTTGATTTTATTGAGAAAAATTTGGAGTTTCAGATGTAATAATTTTCATATGTGTTCCTGTGAATCAATAATTGATAAGAAACTTATTACACAGATTCCAGAACAACAAATAAAGAGATATAGAACAAAACTAGACAAATATGGAACTCCATAACATATTATATACAAGCACACAGAGTGAGGGAAAAAAAAAGGATCAAAATTAAACATAAGAAAGAAAAGGCACACTCTAAAATCTAAATTAGTGAATACCAGATCCATAGTGAGAAGAGACGAAGCAACCACCATGGTTGCAAATTTCTCACATCCTGGCTTGTTAAAGGCTTCAATGGAAGCATCACGATCCTCCCCACCAGTATTTCCGTCAATCCGTCAATATTGATTATTGATGACCACGGTACATTAAGTAGTCTTCAAAAATGTCTAAAAGTCTGGTCATCTGCATTACAAGATAAGAGGAAATTGCTCGGTCAATACCACGGCACAAAAGTTTATAGAAGGGAACAATAATATCATTTATAGATCTGAAGACCTGTGAAAATATTAACACCCTTGAACGCGTGTCCTTTAGTTTTGGAAGCAGCTTAACCAGAAGAACCATTTTGCCTACAATAAATAAAGGAAAGCAACAGCTTTATCAATCAACTGTAAGATCAACAGTCTACCCAAATATAGATACATTGAAACATTACCAGCATTCTCTATCAGATGCTCTCCCCGTAGTATAAGGAGGTCCTGGTTCAGCACCTTGAAACAGATGGATGATTGCAGCATTTCGGCAATTGCATGGCAATATTTAGAAGATGCTTTCGCTCTCCACCAGAATTAACAACTTCTAGATCTTTTTGCAACAAAGCTTGATAATATTGCTTCTGCATCTGGGACATACCAACCTTGACGATAGTTTCCTTCTTGGGAGGAAGACCTTTCTCAACATCAGACTTCAAGTCTCCTGAGAAGAAACGGGTTGAAGGACCTTATTTGGACAAGTCAAAACAAATGAAGAGATTCTTTCAATGTATACTTTAAGTTCACAAACAAAAGATAAGCAGGAATACCTGGAGGAAAAAAGGAAGCACAGGTTGAAGAGCTTTCCGGAGGCAAAAACCAGGTATTAGAACTGGTCCTCCCTGCATGTTTGAATACATCACGAACCAACTTTATATACAAAGGAAGAACTCCTTTAGGAACTGAACTTATCACACTAGACAATGCTTCCCAAGCAATCTGTAAAGGAGCACAGTAAGATAAACAAGTACATTGAAGTGCATTGTATTAATGTCATGCAATGAATCAAAATAATACTGTCACGGTAGCTGAATCTGAATCACTCTAAGTATGCAGAACTTTGTCTGATTAAATCCTGGAAGAAAAACACTTAAATAGTGTTAGCTAAGGAATACAATACAAAGAAAGAAAGGCAACATTATCATTATGTAAAACAATAAATCATGCATGAATATCTCCAACTCCTTTAAGAACCTCCGACAGCAAAAACTCGATACCTTTCTCATCAATTACAGTAACAACAGTTTCTGCTGCTTTCTTGGCGAGACTTTGAACCTCCTATATTTGATGTGAACGAGGAAACCAAGTAAATGGTATTATGGCATAAAAATTAGGTTCCTACCATATCAGTATAGCCCAAATCAGGGTTTGTTCCTAACATACTTTTGTGCAACCGTATCCAAATCAGGGTTTGTTTCAAAAATCTTTTGGGCAAGCTTGTTTGCATATTAGTCTACATTGGGCCCGGCTGCAGATTTAGGGGAAATAAACTGTTTTAGAGATCAGAGTATATATCATTATAGACACATGCACAGTAAAGCTCTAATGGCATTTCACCTCCTCACAAGAAAAGGATGGTTGCAATGGTTGCAACACTGTCTCAGTCTGAGTAGCAACTCAAGAATGTTTGCAAAGTTGTGAAGAACACTACCTCCCTTCCTTGTCATTTGTTTCCTTTGTTCTCCTAAGCATTAATGGCCTAAGAATTGCCTTGATCAGTTTCAATGCTCTCTGATCACCATTCTCATAAGGTCTCTGAATTAACTTATTCCACCTAAAAGATAGCAAACATTTAAGTAATACAGTTAAACTTATTAGCATGTATATATACAGTTAGTAATATAGAAAACATACCATGCGTTTAGGGTTTAGGGTTTAGGCCTAAGAATTGCCTTGATCAGTTTCAATGCTCTCTGATCACCATTCTCATAAGGTCTCTGTATTAACTTATTCCACCTAAAAGATAGCAAACATTTAAGTAATTCAGTTAAACTTATTAGCATGTATATATACAGTTAGTAATATAGAAAACATAACATGCCCAATTGCACCATGGCTCAACATGCAAGAAACACAGAAGGCTGTAAAGATCTTGCAAATTATTCTGCAGCAATTAGTGAGGACATCATTAACATAAATCAGATTTCTATCAAATGAGACGGTCTTATGAAAGCCTCATTTTTTTAGGAAATATGATAAATGGGAACTTAGATGAGGAAACATACCTGAAGTAGAATACCAGTGAGACACCACCTGCAATGTGCAGACAATGTGAATGCAGCCTAAGCACTCACAGTTCTCACGGATTTTATGGTGAGTGCTTCATCCAGTTCAATTCGATGCCAATCAACTTCATGGAATATGCTACTCTCCGCATCCTAAATCACAGTTAAAACCTGGTTAATGCACATAGAACCAAATGAACAGAATAAACACACTTTCAAGCTCATGGGAAAAACATTGATACTGATCTGAAAAAGGCTGGATTACTTACAGCCTTATATGCAGCAGTTAGAAGACCATAGGTTGTCAAGACCACATCTGTTTTTACTATCACTCTAGGGTCATTACTTCTTTCCCCACCATAATGAACAAAAACAGAAATGCTATCTGGCTTTGAATGGGCTTCAAGTTCATCCTGTTATGAGAATTATAATCAATATCAGACACATTTTCATATTGACATTAAGCAAGAAAGGGGCTACAGACTAATAAACTCACCTTCCATTGACCAAGTAATGCCATAGGACGAACAATGAAGTGCCACACCTTCCATTGACCAAGTAATGCCATAGGACGAACAATGAAGTGACACACCTTCCATTGACCAAGTAATGCCATAGGACAAACAATGAGAGTGCCACCTTTAATCCTTCTGTTCCTAGAATGCTAAGTAATAGGCATGTCCTCAGCAAGTTCTTGATTATCAGGGATACCCTTGCCCGGCCTAGCAAGTATTAGAGCAATTGTCATTACAGTTTACCCCAGACCCATAGCGTCTTCTAAGATCTGCAGAAACCACATTTCGCACAGAAATTAATATATGCAACAACAACAAAAACCAGGACATCAAGATATTAAATTGGAGTGACAAAATAAAACTCACTCCCCCCTCTTGCTGTTTCCAATGCAGAAGGAAATTCTGCAGTTGCTTCACCAGAGAAAATGTTCACACTCCTTCACGAACCAACTTTATATACGAAGGAAGAACTCCTTTAGGAATTGAACTTATCGCACTAAACAATGCTTCCCAAGCAATCTGTAAAGGAGCACGGTAAGATAAACCAGTACATTGAAGTGCATTGTATTAATGTCATGCAATGAATCAAAATAATAATGTCACGGTAGCTGAATCTGAATCACTCTAAGTATGCAGAACTTTGTCTGATTAAATCCTGGAAGAATAAAACTTAAATAGTGTTAGCTAAAGAATGCAATACAAAGAAAGAATGTCACATTATCATTATGTAAAACAATAAATCATGCCTGAATATCTCCAACTCCTTTAAGAACCTCCGACAGCAAAAACTCGATACAAAGAAAGAATGTCACATTATCATTATGTAAAACAATAAATCATGCCTGAATATCTCCAACTCCTTTAAGAACCTCCGACAGCAAAAACTCGATACCTTCCTCATCAATTACAGTGACAACAGTTTCTGCTGCTTTCTTGGCGAGACTTTGAACCTCCTATATTTTCAAGGTAAAAGCATTACAAATGCAAATTATGCAACGGCTCAAATTTACAAATGAAATTAAGCAATGACTCAAATTTAAATGATGTGAATGAGGAAACCAAGTAAATGGCATTATGGGCATAAAAATTAGGTTCCTACCATATCAGTATAGCCCATTGCAGTGGGTAAAGCAGGTCCAGCAACCTCTGCTAAAGCTCCCAAAGAAAATACACTGCAAACGGTTTTCAACCTTAAAATCTGTTTCAAACCATCCAGAGCAGTATCAGAGATTTGATCGTCATCAAGAGCGTGCAGAAGTGTCGGAACAATCTCATCAATTGCTTGCATTCCAGCAGTCTACACAAGGAACCATCATCAATTCATCATCAAACTAATATTCACACACCAAGAACTAACTAGTGGTACCTTGTAGAGAGAGCTGAATGCCAACCCTGCTGATTCACGAACCTCAGGTTATGCTATAACATCAGTAAATCAGTAAGAAATTTTTCATACAGGAAAGCAGAAACAAAATTGCTTCCTTCAATACAAGTAAACAATCTCAAACCTATCACAAAGTGCTGTCCGAATGGTAGGGATAAGCTTGTCCATGAAACTCAGCAACTGGCTCTTCCCAGCACTTGCCATCACTTCACTTAAACCAATGCAAATACTACCCTGAAATCAAGTTCCATTACATTAAAGGCTTTAGTAGATTTGAAGAATTCAACCAATGGTGAGAATAAGAGAAAGAAGAAGATACCACTCCAGAGTGCAATCAGTCGGACAACAAAGCAGGAATACCTGGAGCGAAATAGGAAGCACTCACAGGTTGAAGAGCTTTCCGGAGGCAAAAACCAGTTATTAGAAATTTAGAACTGGTCCTCCCTGCATGTTTGTATACATCACGAACCAACTTTATATACGAAGGAAGAACTCCTTTAGGAACTGAACTTATAACACTAGACAAATGCTTCCCAAGCAATCTGTAAAGGAGCACGGTAAGATAAACCAGTAAATTAAAGTGCATTGTATTAATGTCATGCAATGAATCAAAATAATACCGTCACGGTAGCTGAATCTGAATCACTTAGTAAAATAATCAGGGTGGATATCACATTTGGAGCCCCATCAACAAGATATAGATCACTGGTTTTGAATAAATATCCAATTAAGTACGCAGAACTTTGTCTGATTGAAGCCTGGAAGAATAAAACTTAAATAGTGTTAGCTAAGAACTGGAATACAAAGAAAAGAAAGTCACATTAGCATTATGCAAAACAATAAATCATGCCTGAATATCTCCAACTCCTTTGAGAAGCTCCGACAGTAAAGACTCGATACCTTCCTCATCAATTACAGTGACAACAGTTTCTGCTGCTTTCTTGGCGAGACTTTGAACCTCCGATATTTTCAAGGTGAAAGCATGACACATGCAAATTATGCAATGAAAAAAAAAAAACACAAATCAACTTAGAAACCAAGTAAATGGCATTATGGCATAAAAATTAGGTTCCTACCATATCAGTATAGCCCATTGCAGTGAGTAAAGCAGGAAGGATGGTACCAAGGGGGGCATCAAGACCAGGTCCAGCAACCTCTGCTAAATCTCCCAAAGCATGTGCATTGAAGGCGCTGGATATAAAACCAAAGACCATTGTGAATAATAAAGAAATACTACTCTATAAAAAAATAAAAAAAAAAAAGCTATAAGAAATAGTCACAATACTTACGAAAGGGGAAGGTAGACAAGCTTGGGAAGGATATGAGTCAGGCAGAAATGTAAGAAAATACACATTTGCAAATGGCTTTCAACCTAGAAATCTGTTTTAAACCATCCAGAGCAGTATCAGAGGTTTGATCTTCCTCCAGAGCATGCAGAAGTGTAGGAACAATCTCATCAATTGCTTGCATTCCAGCAGTCTACACAATGAACCATCATCAAACTAATATTTAAAATATAAAAACTGGTATGTCAACAACACACCAAGAACTAACAAGTGGTACCATGTAGAGAGTGCTGAATGCCAACCCTGCTGATTCACGAACCTCAGGTCATGCTATAACATTGGAAAATCAGTAAGAAATTTTTCATACAGGAAAGCAGAAACAAAATTGTTTCCTTCAATACAAATGATGTTTCGTATCATTAATTCAATAAGTTGTGAATTAAGTAAGCGTTTCAAGATAATCATTGACGAGACAAATGTTTCATGTTTGACAAGATATGACATTGGACCGAAACAAAAAGAGTTGAGCAATCTCACATCAAAGCACTCTCTATCTAAAGGACAGAAGCAAACTCAATCATGAATAGCGGGAGGAAATTACCTATCAATCACAATGTCTTCTTCAATCCTATGACATGAACACTCAATCCATCTTCTTTACGAGTAAAATCGAACGAAATTCTAGAGATTCAAAGTCTCAAACAGAAGCAGGCATAATCCTAAATGTTCAGAAAGATCAAAGGGGAGCAAATGAAAAAGGTGCATACTTTGGAATATGGATGAAGGTTGGCCATCATGGATCATCAATCTTTACTCCAACTTCTCCAATTCATTCAAACTCTCTATGATAGCCTGCAGTTTCAGAAGAAATCAAACAACCATTTTTTCTGCAAAATCTATGCAAAGTACACCTCACTAGAACAAGGATAAGGCACGAGAAAAATCCTTCTTCTCGAGATTACTCTCACCTTCTTACTTGTTTCTTGGAGCTCCCAAGCGAGAACGAATTCATCTAAGATTAGATATACCTTCATAGGAAAACAATCAATCAGAAGTATAAATTACAATGCAGCATACACAAGGTGAATACAGTAGAAATAAAAGAAAATACAGAGATTCACAATGAGAAAGACTGACAAACCATACCTTGTGAAAGTTAAAAACCAAATCTAACTCGCAGACATTACTAAAAAAGTGATCCAGTATCTACACAAACAAGTGGATGCACTCCAAATAAGCCAACTCCCTGTCCGTCATATCAACACAGAGCGAGAAGAATAGCCCAGCATACAGCCTGTAGATCATCTTGTGTGTTCAGAACTGACAAGGAAAGCATCAACTATTAAAAAGAATACTTTAAAACCCTGAAAATCATTTTAAAAATAACAAAGGGAAAAGAACCAAAAATAAAGGAAAAACACATATCAAGAATGTAAATGCTAAAAAAAATAACTCTGAAAACTAATTAAAAATAACACTTCCAAATGCTGAAAATCATTTTAAAAACTAACAAGAACAGCGAAAAAAACATTTTAAAAACTATAAAGAATACTTAAACACACTAAAAATCATTTTTTAAATAATAAAGGATAAAGAACCCAAAAATGTGGGGAAATCCAGGAATACAGAAAGGGAGCAAAGAACTACATAGTGATTAAACTTTATCTGCGAAATCTAACAAGTATTCAAAGAAAATACAAAGATTCAAAATAACCCTAGCAAGTTTTTGTTGAATACTTACCATAGTAATTGGTACCAATGAAGGTTCATTCTGTGATATTAAAGCACAAATAAGACGTAGGCATTGACGAGTCGGCGAAGGCGGGGAGATCGCAGCAGTCTTTCATAGTAACATCAGCGGCGGAGGAGGAAGAGTGGCGGTGGTTGCGGCGGAAGATGAGGTTGTGCACGGCGGCGCGATGAAGAACTGGTGATCGGCAGAGGTATCTATATAATAGGAGTCAGTAAGTGTACGTTGGGCAGTTTCCAAAAAAAAAAAAAAAAAGTGTACGTTGGACTTCTTCCGCATTCTTCTCAACTGACAATAATGTATTTGTTGGGCAGTTATTTAGATTTTAGATTTTAAATATTTGTGTTCTTTTTTTTTTTTGAAAGCATCAATTTTTGTGTTATATTACTCACTTTGGTTTATAATCTATTTTTCAAACACCCCATAAATATTTCATGGAAAACATAAAGAAAAAAATTTGGATAAAATAATAAATCATAAATGCAGTAAGTAATGTGTAATTATCATTATCATATCATAATTTAGTAGAATTATTATGATTGAATAATTAATATTTTTTATGTGACAAAAAAAAAAAAAAATTTACAACCACTACATGATGGTGTATACAATGCAAATTCTATAAATCGCAAGAAGAACAGTGTGATGGGCTCAGTCAATAAAGTGTTTTTTATTATCATAGATTAATTTAACATAAATATAATTAGTTTTTATTAAAGGATCTTTTACAATAAATAACTACTATTGGCACTAACAAACAAAATTTATAATGTGTAATGTTTAAATAAAAATACCGTAATATTTTAAATCTCTCTCTTTGTTCGCCACTTTGACTTATATTCGGGTATTGAATTTTAAATATTTGTGTTTATACTAACTTTGGCTTATAATTTATTTTTCAAACACTCCATCAATATTTCATCAATTAAATTTTTATGAAAAAAAAAACTAATAGTAACAAAAAATACATGAGAGAATAAATCATATAAGTAAATTTATTTAATTTAAAAGCAATGTGTAATTAACATATCAATATTTAGTTGAATTATTATAATTGAATAATTAATAATTAATACTTATTTTTAGTACTGTTGACTTTGTTACAATGTATTATATGTTCATAACTACTTTCTCAAGCTTATACAAAAAAAGTCAATACTGCCTCATTGGGGCTTAAACCCATAACGTCCCATTTAGAAGAACCACTTCGTACCACTAGACATTTTTATATGACAAGAAAATTGCAGCCATTACATGATTTTATTTTTTATTTTTTGCATAGGAAGGACCGGGAATACTATGACGGTGTATACCAATTTACAGAATTACATAGTATACATTTCTAGTCCCTCGACTATAATACATGTATCAATTTTAGTTATTGACTATTAAAATTTTTAAATTAAGTGCATAACTATTCAATTTGTGTCACATTTAATTTTGCCGTTAAATTTTCTGGTCAAATTTTCAATCTAATCACCGGTGACCGGCTAATTTATCTATTTATTTTTTAAATTAAAAAACTTTTAAAAAAATGAAATTAAAAAAAAAAAAAAAAAAAAAAAAAAAAAAAAAGGGCCACCCCACCTCCCTCTTCCTTCGCCATGAGGTGTAGGATGACCGTCGTTTTTTATTTTATTTTATATATATTTCAAGATTTATAATTTAAAAATTATTAAAATATGCTTAACATTTTAAAAAACTGTTAAACAAACTTATTCATGGGTCAGAGGGGCACAATATGTTAAGCATTTTTAATACCTATAATCTAGGTAACACAAAAATAGAAAAATACAAAATATGTAACATGCACAGATATTTATGTATTTATAATTTTTTTTAAATATACATAAATACTAATGGATTATTAGTTTCATTTCAATAAATGTATTTTTGAATCTATTAAAATTATGGAAACAATACTAAAATATTGTGTAAATACCGGTGAAGGTCCTCCGACTTTGGTGGCACTGTCATTTTTAGTCTTCAACTTTTAAATTAACCACTTTTAGTCTTCTTACTTTTTGTTTCTAGCCATCTATGGTCCTTTCGTTAAACTTGACCATTTAATGCCGTTTTCTAAAAGATAATTCAATCCATTCATAATTAATTTAATAATTATTATGTTTGCCGAGTCATACCGAGATATTAACGCCGGCTACAGGATGATTTGTGAGACCAAATCTTCTTGCACCTTTTTCTTCTTATTGTTTGCCTTTTAATTCCTTTCATCATTTTCCTTTCTATGTTTTCCGCTTCTAATATGGTTGATTTGGAAGAATTTGTCGAAAGTGACCAGTGTGAAGAAGAGTGGATTCAGCTCCCATTTTTTAGAATCCCCTAGATGCGATGCACCTCCGGAAGTTCTCTCTCACTTACCCTATTTACTTTTTTTTTTTAATTATTTTTTGTTGTTGTTATTGTAATATTGGATTATTTATAAATTTATTCTCTTTCATGTTTGTTTATTTAGTAAATTCGTATTACTTTATTAATTTTGTCTAAAATAAGAGAAATAAGAGAACTTAGAATAGATTTGAGTTGCTATGAGATTCTGTTTTGCTTAACATAGGATGTGATTGCTTACCATATTCGGAAAAAAAAAAAGTCTTAAGTCTTTGTATGTTTTATGAAAATCAAATATAGCCAACAATCAACCACATGTTGTGCATTAGTTTCAAAATATTATGGCTTTGACACAAATGCATAAATATCTACAATGTATGGTATTATACATGTATGAATAGATATATGCACACATACATATTAATGTGTGGTTGACTAATAAAGATTAGGGGAGGGGCGGGGAACTAGTAGAATTTCAAGTGGTGTAGCTTTGAGGTTGGTTAGTCCAGTCATCTCAGTCATATCAATTTCTTCATTAGAGACATTTGAGAGCTCAAAGAAATGTAACAAATTAGCCAACACCAAGTGCACCATTTGAAGACCAAAAGTTATTCTTGGGCATATTCTTCTACCGGCACCAAATGGGATCAACTCAAAATCTTGTCCCAAAACACCAAGGTCCTTATGACTATTAATAAACCTCTCAGGTTTAAATTCGTGAGGGCTAGACCAAACTTGTGGATCTCGTTGGAGTTTCCACAAGTTAAAAAACAACCAAGTATCTTTTGGAACATGAAAACCAGATATGATGCAATCTTTTATGAACATTCTTAGGCCTATTAATGGAGCCACTGGGTACATCCTAAATGTTTCTTTCACAATACCTTGAAGATACACCAAGTTCTTGATATCTGATTCATTTACCTTTCTTTCCTTGCCAACTACAATGTCTAGTTCTTCTTGAGCCATCTTTAACACATGGGGGATCATCAAAGATAGAGCCCATGTTAGCATGATCGAGGTCGTATATGCTCCTCAAATTCTGATATAGTTAAAGAAAATTGTGAATTAGATACATAATATAAATTAAAGTTATATGTATTATTTTTAATTTCAAGTACACATGGAGGACTTAAATTTAGGAATAATAATTTGGTAAACCAAGACTGCATACCATGCAAGCATATTTGATGACACTATCATCATTGAAACCATTAAAATCAATCCCTTTAATTCGTGAAAGCATCACATCCATGAAATCTTCATTGCTGCCCCTAACAGATATCTATCACCTGTGGCCTCTTTCTTCCAACGATGCTCTTGTAACCATTCTTCAACACGAGAGTCCATTTCTTTAGCAACTTCTTTCATGGTTTTCTCATACACTCTAATATCTAACCATCCAAAAAAGGCAGGACATCTGCTGGGACAAAAACTACATAAAAAGCAATAGCTATACATACAAACACAATCAAATTTCCAATAAAATAACTATGATGCTCATGAATACTTGAAATAATAGTAAAAGATTAATACGAGCACAATACAGATAAAGCTTCTCTCTGCTAAGAACAATCCAAAGCACCTACCAATCCAACATGTACCCTGTGCCCTTTCCTCTTTGAGGACGAGAGGAGCAATGACAACCCAGAACTCCACAGCATATGAAACAGTAATGATAGAGAAGAAAACCAAAGCCTTGCTTTCCCTTCGTGTTGTTGAGCAACACTCTGAAGTGCGGAGGCATTATGTAATGGTCACATTACCGACATATCATGATATGTGAAGGTGTCAAACTTATTCCAATAGGATTCTGCAACAAAGATTATTGAAAGCCACAATGGAAGTTGCAAAACAGATCAAGATGTACAAATGCTTAGTGGGTGCTTCCAAGTTCCAACTAGCTGGGGTTATGAGAGAGATCTTAACAAAAATGCAAAATATATGTAACAATGCTCAAAGTACAAACAAAGATCATTCACCTGAATGTGCATGTACATACCTCAGTACATTCGGGTGAATGATATCTGTTACCTTCTGGAATGACCCAACTGCTTATATGCTTGATAAATAGAGAATACAAATCATTGAAATGAGATAATGATTTGGCATTTGGATCCGATATTCCAAGTTCAAGATGCCTTGTAATGTAAAAATCAAGAACCTGACAACAAATTAGACACTAGCACAGAAGATATCAGCCCATGCACAACAATTT